ACTCCATCTCAAAAAAAAAAAAAAAAAAAAAAAAAAAAATTAAAATGAACCTGTTCCCTGTTTCTTAATATTCTCTCCTTCTTTAAAGTTTATGACCCAGGTCTCCTGGTTTTCTTTATATCTCTCTGACAATTATTTCTCTAATTCGTTGGCTATTTCTCTATTTTCTGTAGCCCAGTTTCTATCACTTCTGCATTCTCACATCATTTTTATATACTCTTCCCTGGTTTTCTCATCTAAATTGATGAATACAACCACCAACTATTTGCTAATGACTCCAAGATCTATGGCCAGTCTTTCCAAATGGAGGCCCCATATTCTCATCTATACCTAAATGTTTGGCTGCAGCCTTATACCAGAGATGCCAGTCATTTTTTTTTCTTAGAGACGTGCCCACATACCATAAAGAGTAGTCACATAAATCACTCTGTGACTTCATCCCTCAGGCCAAAGCTGATTTGACCCAAGTGGCTATCTCATCCAGCCTGGTCCAGTCAGATTCCCCTGTGTGGGAATCAATCACCTCCAACTGTAAGGTGATATAGAGCTTAGAATGTGTCCTGAGGATAAGTAAGCAGAGAAAGCCAATATACAGGAAAAGTCCAGAGATTGGGGCAGAAATGCAAAGGGATGCAAAGCAAAGGACATCGGATTTCAGAAACACAGAGTATGTGGCTGCCTGAGAATTTTCCAGTGCCAGCAAGCCTATGCTTTATTGCTTTCACTGTATTTCATGAGATTTACCATTCCTTTTTTGAATACAATTTGAAAACCTACTTTGTGCCAGGAACTTTGCTAGGTATAAGAGAAATTTTGCTGAATGAGGAAAACGTGGTCCATGACCCCACAGACCTACATTTGATTTTTGCCTTCTCACAGTAAATTATTGCTTACCTGCATTTCTTTGAGTCTGTTTGTTTCTTGCATTCCATCAATTCACATGTAATTCTTTTTAAAATTTTTGTTTTTCTGGGTAAGTACTTAATTCTTAATATATCCCAAACCAACCTAGTCTTCCTCACTGTGTCAACTCCTTCTCCGAAACCCTGCAATTTTGATCAGTGGTAGTATGCACACTCTTGATTAACTGGGTAGTATGCCCAGTTTTCAAAACCAGAAAACTCACAGTTGCCCTTTATTCCTCCTTTGCTTCACTATAAAGCTAGTCCATTACCAAATGGGTTTTACCTCAAAATGCCCTTCCTTTCAGATCTTGCTTTTTGTCCTTACGTTTGTTTGCCTCAGATTAGATTCTTGATACCTCTCACTTAGGTGTTTCAACCGCCTCCTGTCAGATACCTGCTGAACACCTGTCCCTACACAGCTCATCCTCCATGTCATCAGACCTCTTGCTAGGATCCATACTAGATCTTCACACATGCCTCCTAAAGATGTCCACTGGCTTTCTATTACGCACCCTCCACCTGTCCTTGGCAACTACTTTTGTCACTATGAATCTACCTATTTTGGATATTTCACATGAATAAAGTTATACAATATGTGACCTCTTTTGTCTGGCTTCTTTCCTTAGCATAATGTTTTCAAGGCTCATCTATGGTGTAGCACGTATCAGTGCTTCATTCTTTTTTATTGGGTATAATATTTCATTGCATGGATATGCCACATTTTGTTTAAAAAAACCCAGACACCTTTTACAAGAGACCCTACGTGATCTGGTCCAAATTCCTCTCACTTGCTCTCTCCCACAACTCGCATTCCAGTGATTTCCAGTCACTAATTAAACATGTGGCATTTTCTGAGTTTGTGCATTTTTAATAATATACATTTCCCTCTGTCTAAAAAGGCCTTCCTCAGGTATTGGCCTGGCAAAGTCATCTTTTAAGACCAGCTCAAATACCATCTTTTCTGAGCCTGGCAAAACATGTTCTCTTAAGGCATTCTGTTCACTCCTCTGGCATTTGACATTCTAGCCAAAAGTGAAAAGAGATTACAATAATAATCTCTTATGACCTTGGCTTGTCATAACCAAAAGTTACCAAAGTTATCTCGTTGGAACCATGTAATGACTCAGATGAGGCAGGAAGGCATCCCATTTCACAGATGAGAAAATGGGCTCAAGACAACAAATATCCTCCCCAATGTCGTGTGGACAGAATGGGATCCAGATTCTGTAGCCAGGTCTTTACAAAATCTGGCTACATAAAAGATCTGAGTTGAGGTGCTTCTGCATACATTTGATTTGTATTTTGTTTTAAAACATATATTTTAATTATTTTTAAAAATGATTGATGTAAAATTCACCACTTTAGCCATTTTAAAGTGTACAATATAACAGTTTTTAGTATATTCACAATGTTGTACGACCATGACCATTACCTAACTCCAGAATATTCCCATCACTCCCAAAAGACACCCTGTACCTCCCAAACCCACCCTCTACGGGTCCTTGGCAACTACTTTTGTCACTATGAATCTACCTATTTTGGATATTTCACATGAATAAAGTTATACAATATGTGACCTCTTTTGTCTGGCTTCTTTCCTTAGCATAATGTTTTCAAGGCTCATCTATGGTGCAGCACGTATCAGTGCTTCATTCTTTTTTATTGGGTATAATATTTCATTGCATGGATATGCCACATTTTGTTTATCCACTTATCAATTGATAGACATTTAAATTGGTTCCACTTTTTGGCCTTGTGAATAACGTTACTATGAACATTCCTGTACAAGCTTTGGTGTGAACATATATTTTCAATTCTCTTGGCTATATACCTAGGTATAGAATTGTAGGGTCATATGGCAAATCTTTAACTTTTGGGGGACTGCCAAACTTTTTCCAGAGTACTGCACCATTTTATAATATATTCCCACTGGGTAATATATTAAACTGGGTAGAAGATTCCAGTTCACCCACACTCTTAGCAAGAGTTATTATTTTCTTGGTTTATTATTAAAATGATGATGATAGGTATTCTAGTAGGTAAGAAGTAGCATCTCATTGTGGTTTACTTGCCTTTTTCTACTTCCTAATGAGTATCTATGCATATGTTTATCAGCCATTTGTATATCTTCTTTGGAGAACTATCTATTCAAATTCATTGTCCATCTTTTAATTGGGTTGTCTTATTCTTGAGTTTTGTGAGAATTCTTTATATATTCTGCATATATCTGATGTATTATTTGCATAAATTTTCTTCTATTCTCTGGGTTATCTTTTCCTTTGATAGTTTCCTTTTATACATAAAAGGTTTTAATTTTTATTAAGTCCAACTTATCTTTTTTTTTTTTTGGCTGCTTATGCTTTTGATGTCATATTTTAAAAACTGTTGCCTACCCAAAGGTCATAAAGCTATATCGCAGCTGTTTTCTTCTAAGAGTTTTACAGGTTTAGCACTTATATTTAGGTAAGTCTTAGATCCATTAGAGATAATTTCTATAAATGGTATGAGGTACAGGTCTAAATCACTCTTTGCATGTGAATATTCAGTTAACTCAGGATCATATATTGAAAAGACTATTCTTTCCTCATTTAGTGGTCTTGGAATCCTTGCAAAATATTTATTGACCATACATGTATGGTTTATTTCTGGACACTCAATTCAATTCCATTGGTATATATGTCTATACTCATGTCAGTACCATGCTGTTTTGGTTACTACAGCTTTGTAGTAAGTTTTGAAACTGAGAAGTGTATGTCTTCCAATTTCGTTCTTATTTACTTCAATAATTTAAGAGCTTGTATACACCTTCTTATAAAATAATTTTTAAACTACTCTGTGCTTATTTTATACAACTTAAAAATTTACTTAAGAATTTAAGAAAAAATGAAAAGAGAAGCTTTACCAGTCATTGTGAACCCACTGTTAACATTTTGAAGCATTTCCTTCCACTTTTACAAATGTGTCTGTATGTACATCTAAGTACACATTTTCATATTTATGGAAACTGAAATGCATAGCTTCATATCTTGCTTTTTTCCACATAGCATTATATCAGGAGCAATTTTCCCTATTATTAAATATTCTTGGAAAATGTCATTTTTACAGCTGCATTCTGTTATATTGATATATAATAGTCACTTCTCTAGAGATGAATATGTAGGCTATTTCTAGTGTTTTCCTGGCATAAATGATAATGCAATAAACTTGCTTATGTGTCTTTTTGTGCATCTCTAATACCCTTCTTAGGATAGATGCTATATGTAGAATCACTGGATCAAAGACTATTTTAAGAGTGTTCATTTTCATGATTAAATTCTGTACCATTCCTAATGAGTTACATGAATTCCAAGTTATGTATGGGTACAAATAATTTACCCATTTTATGTATAGCAAATTTTCTTCTCATTATTTGTATCTACATTTAATTTTGGTAATTACATATTTTGACTTATGGCAGCTTCATATTTTCCTTGAAATTAAATCTTCTAAGCTTCATTCTTATTTTCATTTTGTATTTTGTTTAACTGTTTTAGGTCGGAATGTCCTTATTCACAAAGGGACCACAGATATTTATCTCTTTCTACTTTCAGGTTTTGTTTTTTTAGGTCTCACTTAGTCATTTGAAGTTTATTTTAGAGTTATGTCTTTAGGAACTATCTAATTTGATTCTTTTGTAACTTTTTAGACATAACATTTTGTTTGTTATAGTATTAAAATGTGTATTTGCTAGAACTGATCTTGAGTTTTCTGTCTTTTTGTGGTTTTTTTTTTGGCATTTAGTGTGCACTTTTGCCTCCAGATGAATTTTATCAGCACATGGTCAAATTTTCAAAAAATCCCATTGAGATTTAGACGACATTAGACCTCTACATTAATTTGACGTCCTTATAGTATTCATTTCCCCATCCAAGTACATCATCTATCTCCCTATTTCTAAGAATCACAGCTGAGTTTTGTGATTTTCTTCATATGGATCATGCACATAAGCTTATCCCTCAGGTTTTCTGTGTGTCTTGTTAAAATCATGAATAGAAACCTTTTGTTGCTTTTCTATTTAAAATGTATTTTAACAGATACTTAATAAACATTTCAATTTGTATTTTTTAATTTGCCAGATATTCTTTTAATGAGAATTATAAAAGACCAAAAACATTTTTTTTGCAAACTGCCTTTTTAAACAAATGATTTGCTTTTAATTACAAATACTGTGCATGACGATGCCTTCTTCTGCAAAACCAATAAATACAAGAACAAATCTTAAACAGATGATTTGTCTAAGATATTTGAAAAAGGAAACAAAAGCCCAATTTTCATTATAAGATTCAATTGATTCTCTAATGCATCAACGATTAAGCTCAAAGGTGTGACTCATTTGTAGAAGAGAGAAAGAGAAACCATCTTATAGATGCTTTAAATAGCTTTTGATAATTTTCCCGATGCCACCTTTACTTTCTGGAACTCATAGCTTCATAAAATAGCTGATTTTAAAATATTTCTAATGAACTGATCAATGGGGAAAAGAAATATGTATTGAATGCATGTTATAAATTTTACCATAAACAATTATGCATAGCAAAAGACACTAACTTTAAAATGGTACAAAAAAAAAGTGAGGAAAAACCTGAATTACAGAAAAGAAAGTCAAATTTATTTAATAAAAACTAGAATTAATAAAAATTAGCAAAAACACACACAAAAAAGCACACCGCAGCACTGTGTATTGACTCACAAAGGGGAAAAGCAGTGGCCCATGACCACTCAAGATGGCTTGTCAGTTAAAGGAAAAAAACCCAAACACGCACACACTCACGCACACACTCACACATGCAGAAACAAAACAAAAAACCCATTATTTTTGAACAATACAATCTACAACAAACACAAAACTCAGAATTATTTTACAATGCTTTCTTCTTTCTTAATACAAAAGATGCCCATCTTGGGTGTATATACATACATTTTTTCAGTGGTTTACTGTTGACTTATTTTAAAATATATTAGTGTTACTACATGCAACTGTTTCCTGTATTTAACAGCCTTTCTTTTTATTTACCTTCATGTGTCTAGCTTTCACTACCAAAAGATGAAACACTGGCCACAAAATGTTTGATTGCCATTTCAACACATGGAAATAGTTACATTGATGCCTAAATTGCCGTTTTCTGCAAAAAGCTGTGCAATGCTGGTGTCAAAGACTAGACAGTCACTATTCATACTGGCTGTTGCAATTCCTTCATGAATAGATCGAGGAGTTGCTTCCCAAGTCAATCGTCGCCTATGACCATTTAGCTCAAGTGGGTAAGCAAAATTTTCAGTTTGCTTGCGTGTTCCTATCAGTGGTACGATTGAGAAGAACTGCTGGTGACCATCGTCTTTTTCCTGTTTCTCCAAGACTAACATGAAGTGAAAGCCAAAACGGGACTGCATCATCATCCAGTCAACAGCACCAGGAAAATTAATGTCTGTAGCAAGGAAAACTATATCCTCTCCCTGTAGGGTTGTAATGGACTTATGCTGATGCATCAGATGGGGCATTACAGCATCCAGAGAGCCTTGCCATTTACCGGAAGCACCAGGGCACGGACAGGAATAAGGCCTAAACTCACAGAGCTCTTCGTGGTCTGCTTTTTCTGTGTGTGGCAGTTATTTCACATCCATTTACAGGGGGAAAGTACTGAATTAGCCACTTTCTCCATAGCCAAGTTGCGAATGGATCCCAACGGGCCACGGCAAGTTGGACAACATGTGAGCTTTGGGTGACAGCTGCTACAAACAAGATGGCCACTCTGACATTGAAGAATGGGTGGTAACACATAGTCAAAGCAGACTGGACACTTAAAAAGACTCGCCAAGTCATTGTTGGATGCAGTCGTGCCAGTCAGGGCAGGCACCCTCTGGGACGGTGGACACTTCGAGGTACCGATAGGCAATGCGGTAGCAGTCTGACGGCTCATTTCTGTGGGCGGAGAGTGCGCCTTGGACCAGTCCTGGCACCAACGCGCTCCGTCGCCAACCCCCGCCACCGAGGGCAGTGTCACCGCCTCTTCCCGGCGCCGAGACTGACGGGACACCCTGGGCCGCCTCTGCCACTCGAGAGTGCGCCCCGCAACGGCCGCCGCCGCCGCCGCCGCCGCCTCCGTTTCGCGCGTCCTCGAGCCCGCCGCGCGCCCCCGCTAAATAGCACACACTGCGGCGGCAGCCATGAGGAGGCGCGGCCTCAATTTGTATTTTTGTCTCAAATTTATACCTTAATAGTTTTCAGTAGATGTTCTGGAGTTTTAAGATTACATGATATTATTTGCTTATAGTTGTTATGTCATCTCTTCATTTCTAGTAACATGTCACTTTTCTTTTTCAAATATTAGTAGAATATTTAGAACTTTAACAACAGTATTACATAACGGTGTGGACAAAGGGGATCCTTATCTTTTTCCTTTGGTAATGGCAATACCGGTAGTGCTTGTTTTGCTGTTAAGAGAATAAGTAGGTATTGGCTTAAGATAAAAATTCTTCCTATTAAGGAAGCAGACTTCTATTCCTGGTTTGCAAAATTATTTTTTTAAATAAAAAATTTGAGTTGAACTTTGTTACAATCTTGTCATCATCCTTTGAAATAATCACATTTTTTTCTTCTAACAACTGACATCACGTGTGTGTGTGTGTCTGTGTGTGTATACATACACATATATGTGTTCCCTAACATAAACCATCTTTACATTCCTGGGAACTCTTTGATTTGGTTGTAGTATAGCATTTATTTAAGTTATTGCTGAATTTTATTTGTTTGCATGTAGCACTTATCATCATTATATTATGAAAGACTGGCCTGGCATTTTTTGTTGTTTTGTGCTCTATGTGTCACCTTTTGATATTGTAGCTATTCTGCCTTTATAAAAATAAAAAAAAAGGAAAGTACTCTGTCATCTTCTATGCTCTGAGACAGTATGTGGGTTTTATATTCATTCCATGCAGGTTCCCCCTCTTGCTCCATGGCTCACCCTTCCCCCTCTCCTTTCCAAATCTCTGATTTCCACCAATTCACCCCCATGTCACTGTGTTGGAGCATGATAGTTCTAAAGGTGAGATGCTGGCTGAGGTTGTCTATCTGCTGCCAGTGAAGAGTCCTGTGTGTGTTTCCCCAGACTCCAAGTGTATATGCCATATAAAGGGTCCTAGTGAGATTCATCTTAAAGGTGTTCACCAAGAGAATCATATGACTCCAAGACCCACCCACAGGTGGTCCAAGAAAAGTCCAAATCCTGGGAGGTGGACAGTCCATGTGACCAGCCAGATGCTGCCTTGCCTGCCTCCGAGGAACTGCCCATGTCTAATAGGAAGAACTTCTAGGAAACCACCAAACTCCTATATAAAAGGGGGCCAACCACTGTGCAACCACCACATAGAAGGTACTGCTGCCAGATTAAAATGCTCTGGGCAAGAAGGATCATTTGAGTTACAAGGGTTCTTCCTCTTCCCCAGGATCTGAAGAGAGGGGGAGAGAAAATTTAAATTAAATGAAGGCTGGAGTTTTGATATCACACTGAATGGGATTTTAATTATTTAACAATTTCAGGAGAAATTTTATTACCAGAAAGTTCCTCGAAAGCTATGGAACCTATCTGAGCTTGCTTTGGGGAAATGATTTCTGAGGAGAGTTAGAGGAGGTTGCGGTGGGAAAGCAGAGTGTGGCTTGCTCCCAGGGGGTTCAGCTTAATAAACAAACAGGCCCAAAGAGAAGCACTTAGAGAACAATCACTGAGAGTGATTCCACACCTTCTTTCACACAGTTATTTTTAGAATATTCTACTTTATTGTGCTTTGGGAGGTGATGGCAATGTACCAGTTCAGCTCAATCTTGGACATTGTGATGTGCTTTTTATTGCTACGCTCTCTAATTGAAATAAAATGGAAGAACAAGGAAAGAGTTTAAAGACAGCAAGAAAAATAGCTCACATGGGCTTTTGGCAAAAGAAAAATATCTAGAAACCAACATATACTTAGAAAAAATTAAAAATACAATTAAATATCAAAATATACAGTTTGTGGATAAAAATATTTTTTTCCCAAAAGAGTCTGTGTTAGTTCATTCTCACACTGCTGTGAAGAAATACTTTAGACTGGGTAATTTATAAAGAAAAGAGGTTTAATTGGCTCACAGTTTTGCAGGGCTGGGAGGCCTCAGGAAACTTACAATCATGGAGGAAGTGTAAGCAAACATGTCTTTCTTCACATTATGGCAGCAGGGCCATGTGCAGGGCAAAGAGGGGCAAAAAGCCCCTTATAAACCATCAGATCTCATGAGAACTCACTATCATGAGAACAGCATGGAGGGAATCAACCCCACTGGGTTCCTCCCACAATACACTGGGATTATGGGAGCGAAAATTCAGGATGGGATTTGGGTGGGGAAACAACCAAACTATATCAGAGCCCAATGTATTCAATATATTGGAAAAATTATAATGGAATGTGGCAATTTTTGCTTTCATCTGAGTATTTTCAATATCCTATTTATTAATTCTGGGTCCTTGATATAGTCATGCAACATTTTATATATTTCCTTTTTTTTTTTTAAGTTTCTGTTAAGAACATTTATCAAATTCATTCATTTAAGTATGGGGGCATAGAAATAAATGATCTCCTCCATTACCCAGGATTGTTTAAAATCATTTGGTAGACTCTCAGTATTTTATGCAGATCGACTTTTTGTTTATTTGTTTGTTTTTGGTCAATGCAGTATGGTAGAATGAAATGGAGTTAGTTTTAATAATTTTCATAGTTGCCAATGATTACTTCAGCAGTCATGATTTTTTCAAACTATTAATCACAAAGTCCATGTCTTAGGCTGGGTCCCCAGACGTAGACCCTGAGATAAGGATTAGAGTGCAAGCAGTTTATTTGGGAGGAGATCCCAGGACATATTGCCATGGAATTGAGGAAGTAAAACAGGGAAGGGAAGGAAACCAGCATTGGGTACATTAAGGGCCAAAGTACCGCTGTGGGCTACCTGCAGGGAGCCTCTGGGAGGCTGAAAGGAGCCCACCTGCAGCGAGCTGGTATCTATCCACCATCTCCATGTGGGCATTGTTTCAGAGCTGCTAGGGAAGGGGTGGGCGTCAATTTTTCACACTTCCCACCAGCCTGTGTGTGACGCATATCTACAACCAGAGAGTCGTGGGCAGTAAGGGACGACACAACGGTGAGTTCTAGGAATGACCGACCTCCACAACCTACACTACGTGTATCTGTAGGGAGCTGGATCCGAGAGGCAGAAGACTGAGTATAAAATCACACAGTCCAAAGCCAACCTGGGTTCAAACCAGCTCTGCTCCTGTTTGTCTGTGACCCTGAGCAAGGTATTTAACCTCTTGGTGCTCAGTTCCCTCAACTATAAAATAAAGATAATCATGGTACTACCGTCATAGAGTTGTTACGTGAGTCGATATAAGTAATGAGTTAAAAATAATGTTGACATATGCTATGTACTATTTATTCATAATTATGGGGGGGGTTCCAAAGTAAATCATCAACCTGCCATTATAGTGCACCTGTGGTAAACAGTTACCATTTACCTGTCTTCTCCTCACCTTTATTTGATAACATTTCATTTAACGACCTTTCTATAGTATTACTATCTTCACTAAGAATTTAGAACCTACCATGTCATATGCAATATCAGATAATCTCACCTCAATCAAAAAAAGCTCATTTTCCATGCATACAGGGAAGAATATATTCATCATCATTTTTGGGGAGCATTTAGACCCGTCACCTGAACATGTTTTGGTAAAGTTTAGCTGAGAGAGTCTTATACTTTCCTAGAAATAACACAACGTCTAAGCATGCATTTCCTCAGGGACCTCTATGGTACAAGGCCTCTTTTCACCTCCTTTTACAGACAAGAGACTCCAAGCCCTGCTGGCAATTCACAATACAAAAAGCACATCTATTATTTACATGAAATTTGAATTTAATGTGATAGGAGCAAATCACTTTTCAAAGTGACCAAGAGAGGAGAAAAGGGTTAAGAAGTCTCTATTGATGTAAGACAAATTAAAAGCAGAAATATAAGAAATGACACTCCTGTCCCAAGAATGCTCTGAGTGGGTTTTTAGACCCTTAAGATGTACCTTGATTCATCTACTTCTGTTCATACATGTCTGCATGTATGTCCTTCCCCAAGCAGCTAGGGAAAATAAAGTTGGATACATTGGCCTGTTCCCATTGTTTCATGAGCAACCATCCAGTCTAAAAGACTAATCTGAATATTTTTTAAGTGGAAAATGTGTTGTTTCACTCAAAAAATTCATAAGCCGTCTCCCTAAGTATGAAATAGCTTCAGGGAGCTATATTTTTTTCTGATAGTTTGTCCCTAAGTATTTGAGTCCATGATTTTCAAGGGAGGCAAGAGCTCTCTAACAAATTGCAGGGACTTCCTATGTTATTTTTAAAAAGCAGCCATTCAGTGTTCTTCTCTGATTTGGAGAAATGCAATAAAATCTTTTTATGTACCTTATTTATTTTCCTAGACATTTAAATTTTTCATGCCCAGCATGCTCAATAATTCAAGCAGAGTGGAAAATGGCCAGGTTTTACCTTCAATGCGATTATCCTCAGGGACTGAGGGTTTCAAAGAATGACAGCTATGAAAAATCCCAGGCCTCCTCCCAGCTGTGCACATCGAACTATCTCTACTGAAAGTACTAACCTCTGCCTGCTTCATAGGGGGCAGTGGCGAGTATCCTAACAGTCACTGTAAATCACAGCCCATCACACAGCTAACTCTAGAGCAATGGGGCCATCTAGACTCCAAATATGGAAGTGCTGAAAGGAAAAAAATCCCTTCTGGGATTCATTCCTGGAGGCTCCTTGAGATCTGGATACTGAGAGGGTAAAAGAGAAGCTTGTACATGTCTGAGTCTCAGGTGATCAGAGACAACTTGAATGCATGATCATAATAACTTAAATATTTATAAATGTTTATGTGAAATATCTTAAATATTAAAAATTATATTTTGAGTGTGTTGGACTAAAGATGAATGTATTCCTGTTATTATTATAAATATTTATATATATAAAACATTTAATTCAACCTAAAAGTTTTTTTTTAATTTTTAAAAGAAATGAAGACATTTTTCTGGGACCTTAAAAGTATTGTGAGCCCTCCACCCTGTGCCTAGCA